AATGTGGATCCATATTTGATCAGCACTGCCTAGTTTGACAGTTCGATCTGAGTTTGGTGCGTTGAACTGGACGGACTCACATTGTTTCTCATTTTTTTCCCTTATAGTTGCATAAGGTCTTAAAATATTGGTTTCGATTTGACTTTTGTTTTGTAATCAAAACAGTATCAAAATACAGATATTTAACCTACATTTGTCAAATTTGGATATATATCAACATCTGAAAAATATTACACCTTTCATGGAGATCCAGCAATTCATTTTCAAGATACCTTGTCATGGACCAAAGTGTTTGTCCACACCAGAAATCTGGGCAACCTGGATAAAAGTGCTAGGATGGCCACATCCATCATCATTATCATCATTAGGTAGGTATCATTAGTAGGAGCACAGTACAGTTTATTCACTGGGAGAACACACAAGGTCAGACATTGATTTCTAAAGATAATAAAAATGAGAGACATTACTTTAAAATCAAGTAAAGTCATATGCAGTCTGTTCTGTTTACAGCTCTGTGAGCATGATAACTGTGAGCCAGAGGTAGCGCTGCAATCAATATTGACTACCCCATTACAACAAAATGGAGAAATGATTTAGAGAAATCGCATAAAGATTCCTGGCTTTAGATTAGCCCAGCGTTTGACGTTTTTACATTTATGCTTCTCTGTGTGTTTGCTCTTTCTTCCCCACCACAACGCTGGGTAAATTGTTCAGAGACAGTTGAGGGGCTTTGGTAAACAAGACATTGCCAGCGGTTTCATCATCTTGTCTGGGCTGTGCTTTAATATGTGTGAGGAGAGAATGGCATGTTTCAGCAGCGGCAGACCGGGTTGACAGGCAGCTAACTGATATCCATAATCCCCAAACTGTAAAATTACAACTGAAGAGGAGCTTTTTAGAGTGGGTTAAAATAACCTGCTGAAGTGAAGAACTGTAGCTGCTGAAATATAGATGACTGTATGTTTATCCAGTTATATACAATAAAGAAAACAGATACCACAGCTTGGGCCCAGATACTTTAAGTGTTTCAGACTAGACTTCTCTGTCAAAAACAAAGGACACAGTGGGAGTGTGTTTTCTATATACGAGATTCCCTTATTATAAGCTATAAATGGCCATAATGATGAAGTATTGAACTGCTGTGTTGTGTTTTCTCAGCCCAGATTTCTGTGTAGCTTTTGATGTTTTTCTCACAATAAATGTATATTTTTTATTTCAAGCTAGACAACTGACAGTATATAATTAGTAGACAGAGCTTCTGGGTCAGTGAAGCGAAGCCAATCGCGTGGTACAGTACAATAAAATATGTTTGAACAGATGTGATGAGAGAAATAGTCAACGCATTAACAGACTGTTGATATATATGTGATCAGCACTGCCTAGTTTGACAGTTTGGTCTGAGTTTGGTGGGTTGAGCTGGAAGGACTCACTGAGAATGATCTGTCAATCACAAGATAGCTACATCCTAAAGCATTTTGCTCTACAACATGGTGACAGTCATAACGTTGAAATTGAGCTTTCAAAACCGTACTTCACAAACCAATGGGTGACGTCATGATAGGTTCACACTGGAGCTAGACTGATGTACTGGCTGATATTGGCTTCTTGCAGATATAATATTGGTGTTGGTGTTGACCAATAAGTAACTACAAATGTCAGTACATAAATGTTACATTTTAAGTAGTTTATAAACAGTGTTGCCATTACAGTACATAGTGGAACATCCATTGACCCAGTCAGAGTAACTGATGGTTGAAGCTCTTCCATAATCAAATGTTTGCATTGTCTTAATAACAGCTCTCAAAATCACAATCAACAGGCAGACCCCAGTTAAGCAGAGCAGCAGGAGTTTCCTTCTGTCCAAGTGCCACTGCCAGTATTTCCCATAATACAGTTCTCCTCGGCTGCTCAGTGCTTTCCCCTCATCAACCAGTTGCTCTGTTAGCCTACATTCAACCCGGCAGAACCATCAATCAAACGCACACATCTAAGGCCATTCAAACCCCTGAGACAGCCGGAGACGAGCGGAGGTGGCCACACACACAGGCACGTACACACACACACACACACTAAAACCTTGGCATTTAAGTATGAAAGAAAAAAATGTCATTATTGATTTTTGCTTCTTCATAATTTGTTCCAGTTGTTTTCAGTCTGAGATTTTTTTTTTTGTTTCGATATGTAGCTAATATCTGCTCATTATCATATTATGAATATCTCTGAGCACATTCATGCTGCCAACGATTTTTAAAGACTCTGTAACCTGTTCCTCCTATTCAAGAGTCCCACAGATTTAAGACATAATCCAATTAAAGAACAAGCTTAACAAAACAGCCTTCACCTTAAGTTCTCTGGACTGGTCTAAATTTATATACACAGATGGAGTTTGATAGGGTGATATCATATTCATTTGACTGGAATGCTTCAATAACTCTGATAAACCTCAGATTGAATAATCTACAAAGCTGATAAATTTAATATCATTAAGTAAACTATTTGTCCGGTTCATTTTGAATAGATATA